TTCAGAGTTTGTATTAGTCCATTTTTGTTGCTTATAACAAAGTACACTGAACTGAGTGACTTATGAAGAAAATGAAATTTATTGCTTACAGTTTCTGAGTCTGAGAAGTCCAAAGTCCATCTGGTGGTGGCAACAGGGACCCAGGGGTCTCACATTGTGAGATGGTGAAAGCAGAGAGAGCAAAAGGCAGACTCTCTTCTTCTTTTAAAGCCCTCAGAACCACGCCCCTGGCCCTGACCACCAGTTTTAATCCATTCACTACTACACAGTCCTACAATCCAATCACCTTTTTTAGGCTCCACCTTTTAATTACCATAGCAGGATTTCCCATCCTCTTAACAGTCGCAATGGGGGCTAAGTTTCTAATACATAAGTCTCGGGGGATACAATTCAAGCTTCAGGGAGTTTGGGGGGGACATAGTTCAGTCCACTACAGAGGTGCAGGCCATGTAGTCTCTATTGCAATACTTAATTCTGCCATTGTAGCACAAAAGCATCCATAGACAAAGCATAAGTGAATGAGTATAACTGTGTTCTAACAAAACTTTATAAAAATAGGTGGTGAGCTCGATTTGTTCCATGCACCACAGTTTGCTGAACCTTGTTCTAGAAGACCATAGTGGCACACCCAAATCATACTGGATTAACAGCTTTCTGACCTAAAGGAAAAAAATCCAGTCTTTTCATTAGCTTGTATTCACACGTAGGCTTATCCTAAGTAAAGCACAATTTCTAGTAAGCTTTTAAAAATAATGGAAATAGTTTATCAAACTCTAGGGACTGGTGGCCTCTAGGCTGGGACCAGTGGCCTGAGGTCAGCCAGCACCTTTCCCAAAGGCCTACAGCAGGTCCACGAAATGTGGGTTTCAAACACTAGGCTCTGGTTTCTAACCTGATCAGACAGACAGGTGATCTTTGCTACTGGCATCATCTAGCATGGAGAAGGATTAAAGAGATTGAGGATGAGAGAATGCAAAAGGTTGGATGTTCCATATGGCTGAAGAATCCTGTTCCAAGAAACCAAGTCAGCCAAAATTCACAAATAACTCCTTCAACCAAGCATTTCCCTAGCTGTCCACTTGTCCTTCCTGAGACCTTTTCTACCTTTCTTATACATTCCAGTCTGGCAGGGTTTCCCACAGCTGTCTGGAAATACCTTAGAAGAACCATCCATTTTGCAACACATTATTACTGCAATAAAAGAGCCCTGAATTTAAAGTCAGAACACATATGTTAAAATCCCATCTTCCCCAGTTACAAACCATATGATATTGGACAAGTTGTTTAACTTCTCTGAGCCTCTAATTTCTCATTTGCAAAATGAGGATAATAATATGCTGCATAGGGTTTTTGTGAGACTTAAGTAAAACCACTATAGTAGACTCTATAAGTCCCCCCAGAACTCACTGAAGCTTGAACTGTGTTCCCCAAGTTTTATGTATTAGAAACTTAGCCCCCATTGTGACTGTTAAGAGGGTGGGAAATCCTGCTATGGTAATTGAAAGGTGGAGCCTAGAAAAGGTGATTGGATTGTAGGACTGTGCAGTAGTGAATGGATTAAAACTGGTGGTCAGGGCCAGGGGCGTGGTTCTGAGGGCTTTAAAAGAAGAGAGTCTGCCTTTTGCTCTCTCTGTTCTCTCTGCTTCCACCATCTTGCAATGTTTTTTCTTTCTGTGCATATTTGCTTTCTTTCTGTCATATTTCACTTAATATAATTTTCTCCTAGCTCATTCATGCTTCTGTGAGTGGCATAATTTCATTCTTCTACATGGCTGAGTAGTATTCCATTGTGTATATATACCACATTTTCCTTTTTTCCCCCCTTCAAGTTTGATAAACATTGTTGCAGGGTATAATATTTTTGGCTGGCAGTTTTTTTCTATAATAATTTTTTTTTCCTTTTTGTCTTTTTTACTGACCAGTAATGGGATCGCAACCCTCGGTGTTGCGCCTGTACCGGGGACCGGCAACGGGATCGCAACCCTCGGTGTTGCGCCCGCACCGCGCTCAGCCAGTGAGCGGGAACCGGTCTCCACATGGGATCCGAACCCTCGGCGGGAGCGCTGCCGCACTCCCAAGCGGTACACTCTCCAGTGCACCACCAGGCCGGCCCTATAATAATTTTAAATTAATTAATTTTTTAATTCTGCAACTGTAATAACTTATTAATTACAAAATATACTATTGCAAAGCTATTTTGCAGGTCTAGAACCATCCTTCTTGCTACAGATAAAAGTATGAATAAAATTCTCCTCCAAGGCGTATATGATCTACTATGAATATATAAGTATAAATACATACCTGAAATAATGTGTTAGATGAACTAATTTATTATTTATTTATTTATTTTATTGTAACATAGTTGATTGTACATATCTGTGGGGTACAGAGTTGAGTGTCAATACTTATGTGCAATATGTGATGCTCTAACTACCATATTTTCATTATCCAGTCATCTGTTGATGGACATTTAGGTTGGTTCCAAATCTTGGCTATTGTATACAGAGCTGTGATAAACATGGGAGTGTAGGTATCTCTTTGATGTGATGATTTCCATTCCTTTGGGTATATACCCAGCAGTAGGATTGCTGGATCTTATGGTAGTTCTATCTGTAGTCTGGGAAATCTCCATACTCTTTTACATAATGAATGTACTAATTTACAGTCCCACCAACAGTGCAGAAGGGTTCCCCTTTCTCTGCATCCTTACCAAATTTGTTGTTTTCTGTTTTTTTGATTATAGCTGGTGTAACTGGGGTGAGATGATATCCCAATGTGGTTTTGATTTGCATTTCCCTGATGATTAGTGATGTTGAGTATTTTTTCATATACCTTTTGTATGTCTTACTTTGAGAAATGTCTGTTTAGCTCCTTTGCCCATTTTTTAATAGGATTATTATTATTATTATTATTTTAATTGTTAAGTTATTGGAGTATATTCTGGAGGTTAATCCCTTGTCAGATGTATAGTTTGCAAATATTTTCTCCCATTCTGTAGGTTGTCTTTTCACTATGTTAATTGTTTCCTTTGCTGTGCAGAAACTTTCTAGTGTTTTAATTGCCTGTTTCTCTAACTTTTGTAATTGAGCTTCTGAGAACAAAGATAAGATCTGATTTCATATCTTTATGTTCTGTGCTAAACATAGGACCTGACATATGAAGAGCACTCAGTAAATGTTGTTTAAATGGATGTATCATATGCTGATCAAAAAGCTCTAATATGCAATTATATGTGTTTTTGAGTAGTACGAAAACAGGGATAGTGGAAGGAAAGAGTTATGCTGGTTATGCTAATTCCAGTGCTATGTGCTTCATCTGTGAACTAGTTAGTCATTACTTATTGTAATTTTTTGGGGGGGTAAATAGTTCCTCTGGAAATGGATTCCATGAATGAAATAATCATTCCAGGAACTCTTTTTGATGATGAAGTTGAGAAACAATGCCATAATCTTTGGTTATATTCTATTCTCTCCCTCAGTACTCAAGTCCTCCATTTCAGCCCCCAAACCAACTTAGCAGGACACATGTAGAGGAACATAAGGTTTCATAGAGATATTTCTTACTTTTCTCCTTCTAAAAGCCATTGCTTCAATGTGTTTTTTACCGGTATTATCATCGGTGGCTTTCAAAATGTGAAACCAACCCAAAGCTATCTTGTCACCTTAGCAAAAAGACAATCAGGTGAAATGCTCACCTGGGAGTTAGCAGACCAGGGCTTTTGCTGTGGCTCTTCAGTTGCCTTTGACTTTGGGGACATCATTTAACATATGTGAGCTTCAATTTTTAACATACTTTTATTGAGTCACATGTAGGACGCTTTAAATTTAATATTTATATCCCTCCCTTATTTTAAAAAGGATTTGAACAACCAGCAAGGGATAGAGAGGTGACCTGTCCTGTCCTGTCACTGTCTCTGGCAGCCAGACAAGTAAATGATTAAATAGATTAGGGTGTTTCAGGTCTTTGATCAGTGTCTTCTAAAAGGCTTTGCAACTACAGGCTCTTTACCCTGTCCTTGCTTTCCCTCCTGTGACAATATCTTCTATTACTTGGGAAGTCAGAGATGTACTTCTATCTTCTTTAGGGGTGATCTGAAGAGTAGTTTGCCTAGGAAGTAGTTATCAAGGTCCAGGTCAAAAGAAAAGAGGAATTTTAGCTTCTAGGAATTGGAAGAAATACTAGAATCTTTAGTCAAAATGCTGTTTTCAAATACTGAACTTAAGGCCTGGAGAAGAGAAATAACCTTCCTAGAGTCATATGGTAGAGATAAGCCTAGATTCCAGGCTTTTTCTGCTGTGTCCATCAGTCAGGCTAGGTGTTTTCCAAGTTTGTAAGAGAGGATTAGGTGTCATGGAAAGAACTGCATGACAAAGTGATGGTGAGCAGAGGAAACCGCACCCCAGACCTCCCAAGGTATTGTATCAGATGAGCATAGGACCTTTAGGTATCTGATAGATATTTGCTGGATTTAACTGTCTATGGCAAGGCATAAGATGTGAGAGGTTTCCCCATTCAGCCTGTGGCTGGCATTATATGTACCAGCAGTGACAAAGTGAACAAAAGGGAAAACTATACATTATTTAGACACTGGAACTAATTGGTGGTTGTCCTGTTTCCAGAAAGATTGTGTTAATTTATATTTGTTAATTTGACTGATAAAAATGATACTGCATTTGAATATACATTTCTTTTATTACTAGTGAAGCTAAACTTTTTTCTTGTGTTCATTGGCTATTTGTATTTTCTCTCATTTGTGAGTTAACTATTCATGCTCTTGTCTAGATCCCAGAGTATTCCTAGTGCTATGATAGAGTTCCGTGCCAGGGAACTATTAGGATGATAAAGCATTGTCCCTGTGAGAGCTCAGTGTATTTTGGGGGAGACAGTTAAAGGCTAGATGAAACACTTCTCTCACTGTACAAGTAGCTGGTTAAGTATCTATTCAAGGAGTCAGATGCAAGAAGCTAAGAATGCTGACACAGGTGGGTGATAGAGTCTAGATGACAGCTCTCAGTAATGGTATCTCTTGCTTTCCCTGTACAGAGTTTTGCCGGATTGACAAGCACCTGTGCCACAGTGAGGATGAGAAGCTCAGTTTTGAGGCAGTCCGCAACATCCACAAGCTGATGGATGATGATGCCAATGGTGATGTGGATGTGGAAGAAAGTGATGAGGTGAGCTCTCTCACCCTACTGTGGCTCTCTTCTCTTCCTGTATGAAACTGTCCCTGAAAGCTGCCTAGATAGACTGTTCTCTGTGGAGAGATGTTCTCTGCTAGCTTGTTCTCTAGGAACCCATCCCCATCAGGGGCAATGGCACTCAGCAGAGCAGCCCTCTAGGAGCTAGCCTGTCAGAGTGCAGGCTTTATGCCTGTTTCTGTGCCTGGGCTGCTCCCACTTGCCTACCAGCTAGTAGAATAACACTGACTGAGCTATGTTTTTGGGAGAGAGAGGAATCCCTGGATTCCTACTGCAGTTTCCCTGGATTCTTACTGCAGTCGTGATGTAGATGGAGGGCATCAATCTATATATAGCCCTGTGTTGGCGTGTGGGAGAGAAGGCAAGACAGTCAGATTTAGGAATTTATACTCTATTTGAGAGGAAGAAACAAATCTTAGAAAGATCATTCTAGATTCCAGGCTGAAGTTGTTGGGAGCCAGGAGTGGTCCAGATAGTAAGAGCTAAAGGAATGTCTGAATGGAAAAAAGTTCTGTTATTTCACCTTTTGAGATTACTATAGCTGCAACTCAACAGAGCCCAGAGTACAAGGTTATCATGTGTAAAAAGATTTAACAGTTTCTTGATTTCAAGCTCAATGTGAACCAGCAGTTTGGTGAAACTACTAAGCTATGCCAAATCTTCAATAGTGATATAGTGTATATCATGAGGGATGAGATAAGCCTTGTTTCTCCTTCCTGCTAGTTACGCTACATTTGAGTTTTGAGTTCAGTTTTGGACCTCGCATTGTCAGAAGGATTTGGAAGAGTGAGAGCCTATACAGAGAGGAGTGACATGAATGATGAAGAGTACAGAAACTATGAAATGAATAGCATTCAACAAAATTCAATGCTATTTATTAAGTATGTGTTATGAATGTGCCATGTGCTGTGCTAGGCATAGAGATGGGACAGTAAATAAGACAGATACAGTCTGTCCTCATATAACTTACAGCCTACTGAAGAAACCTTAGCCCAGAGAAGAGGAGACTTGGGTAATATAATTTGTATCTTCAAATACATAAGAAGTAGAACAATCAGACTTATATAACAATGTTAGTAACAATGAAGACCGCAGCACTGGCTATCATTTATTGAATTCTTACTCTATGCCAGGCATGGTATTAAGCTCTTTGCATAGTTACTCTTTTAGCTTTTAACAGCCTTATGAAGTTGGTATTATCATCAGTGACTGGAGCCTTGGAAAGGTTAAGCATTTTGCTCAAAGACAAACTGGATATGAGCTCAGATCTGATTCAAAGTGCATGTTCTTTTTTTTTTTTTTTTTTTTTTTTTTTTTTTTTTT